TAATTAATTTTGTCAATAAAGATGTTAATAATAATTTATTATATTGTCAATTCAGCCGGTCAGTTGGTTGTCTGCTGTGTAAGTCATGTATTAACTTATTAGAACTTACACAAGTTCATATTTGACTTATTTCTTTTGCTGGAAGACTCATTTCAAAAAGTTACACCCACCCCAAAAGACGCATTCATCAATCTTACCGTATTGTGTAACGCGGAAAATTTTTTTGTTCAATATAAATTATCATTAATGTATTTGATAATTTTGTCCATATGTTACGGCCGCTTTGGGCCAGTAACCGGGTTCTTGCTGTTATAACCTCTTCTATATCAAACTCCAAGTAGTTGTGTAGCAAGTAGTTGTGCAAAGAATAAATGGGTGGTGGGGGGTAAAAAATACACAATTATACCTTCACCAATATATTAACACCTTCACCACTAATAAAAATATATATATTATATATAAGTATTACTACATATATTTACAAAGTGTCGCTTTCACTCATGACAATACAATCATCAGTGTTCATCAAATCCCGGTGAATCCACTTACCAGGTACACGTCGTCCACACTTAATGGCAAACACGGGCGAGTTCACCTTCTTCAACATGGGCCAGTCCACCATCACCGTATCGTCACGGTGTTCCAACACCCGACCTCCACTCTCCAGATACACTCTGGCAGAGGGTTTCAGCAAAACAGACAGGGGTCTCAAATAATCACATACAGGAGTAGCTAGCACCCTAACAGAAGTCTCTAAGTCGCTCGCTAGTAGCACTTCTCAACAGACGCACCACTGTCGTCTCGCAACTCTTACTGGCCTATCCCGGGTACGTCGGCCCATACAACACTGTATAAATCAGCAGCTAACACACTGCTATAACCGACGGCGGCTACTTTGTCCTCTCACAGGACCATGTCAAGAGTTCTTGGACTGCCCAAGGTGAACTATCCTCCTCAGTGCCATCGCCTTGTTACGTCACCTCTCTGAACATAAAACGTCATTAGCTAGACAGACAGTAAACTGGGCGACCTTAGCATAACACCCTTCCACTGGGGAATTGGCATTGTAATTGTAGTTGCAACCTAAATGGCGTTCATCTTGACACGCCACCCACCAGAGGTCATCCTCATCGACCTCACCTTCTAACTGAGGCAGGAGACCGGGGCCTTTCACCAATGCCACGCCACCACCAACAGATGGCGTTGTTTGCATCACACCCATTACCGGGGAGTTGGAGTGCAGATCCACAGATGGCGCAGAGATCGCCACACCACACTCCAGCGACGGTGCCGATACCGTTACACTATAGTTAAAAGGTTAAGTTAAATTTGATGTTTTGGTTCAATTGGCGATTATTTGCATTTATCGTACGTTGGTAAAGCATTTACTGAGGTGCGATTCGACCCCAAAGACGTATTCAAAAATTTGTAACGTAATATTAATTCAAAATCTGTATTTTCTCGAACATAATTATTTTATTATATTACAGAATTGTGCGTATAGTTAGGCTAGTGTTAGGTTGGGTTAGGTATTTAAGTTCAGTTAGCAGTTATTTATAATTTCAGCAAGTGGGTAAATGGAACACGCTTTAAATGGAGGTGTGATTCAAACATAAGAAGTGAGCAAACCACGATTGACTGCCGGATTAACAAGCATTTGAATATTGTAAAGTCACCCAAGGTAATTTGAATCCCCCGTGTGAACCAGATTTTCAAAACGTTCGACTATCCGAGCGGAACCTTTCTTGTGAGCCAGTTCTGTATAATGCATCAGTCTGAACGGAACACATTTGTGAACCACATTTTTACATTATTGCGACAATCCGAATTGAGCTCTCTTCCTGAATCAGCTTTTCAAACCGTGTGAAAATACCAGCCCATCAGAGGATCCGGGAGGAATTCCCCTTTGGGAATCAGTTCGCGATACTCTGTCAGTTGTGCGTGGAGCGTCTTATATTAAGGAGTCCTTAGAGGCATCTCACCACCTGGTCGATTAGATTACATAAAGGGAAATCTGTATTTCTTGGGAGTGATTGGATTACCAGTTGCACATTGTTTAACTCACCCGTGTCTACATTATATTGAGAGCTTTCGGAGGGAAGGGGAGGGAAGGAGAGGGATGGGAAGAGAGATGGAGAAGGGAAGGGGAGGGCAGGAGAGGGGATGGGAAGAGAGATGGAGGAGGGAAGGCTTGGGATTGGAAGGTGAGGTGAGGGAAGGAGAGAAGGAGAAGGTAAGAGTGGAGTAGATGCAATTGTGTCTCTGGGAAGATGAAATAGATTTCAATAGATATAAGGGATGGAACTTCGTAAGAAGTGGTTAGAGAGGAGAAAGTCATATAAGAAAGGTCATTAAAGGTGTTAAGAAGAAGAAAAAGAAATAGAAAGAGTTAAAGAAAAATAAGAAGAAAGTCGAAACAACGAGGACGAGACAGGAGACGGCGGTCTTGAAGAAGGGAGAAAATGAAAGACGGTCTAATAAATAATAAAAAACTAGTAAAATACGAGAGGGAAGAAGACCATCTTCCTAATTCTCCCATTACACTTCTTTTTTTTTTAGCTGTTTGCTTATTTCCTTGATTTTTATATTTTTACTTATTCTCTTTTTCGTATATTCTTCATCATGTTTTCTTCCTTCTCCTATTATCAAGGGAATTGACAGGGTAGATACAAGCAGAATATTTAACACGGGTGGTACTCGCTCAAGGGAACACAGGTCGAAGCTGAACACCCAAACGAGCCACAGAGATATTAGAAAAACCGTTTTCATTGTCAGAGCAGTGAATAAATGAAATTGATTAGTGAAGTGATGTGGTGGAGGCAGACGCCATACACAGTTTTAAATAAAGATATGATGAGAGCCCAATAGGTACACCAGTTGATTGAGAGTTGAGAGGCGGGACCAAAGAGCCGAAGCTCAACCCGCCGCAAGAACACTGAGGTGAGAATACACTTCCGATACACCCACAAGTTTAACAGCAACACAATTGGAAGTTGTACCGACCTCACATGGTGTCAGGAAGGCATCAGCTGGTACCCACCAAAAAATACGGGCTATTCATGCCCGTGCCACCTTTTTGGGTGGGTTAATCTTCATCAATCATCAATCAGGTTCCCCACACTCTTAAGTTTTGCATTACCCGCACTATGGGGCAGGTAATAATGCCACCCCCCCCCCCCAAGTTGGGCTCTGTCATTGCTTACTGAAATCACAAAACCGTGAAATGTCTATAAGAAAATGTTTGATATCTGATTAATGATATCCTTCTTGTTAATCTGCATGTTATATAGCCCTTTTTCATCAACATATTGATTGATCACCTCTACGCTAGGTAAACCTTCTAGGTCATCCTTAGTGAGGCCTGATTTTGGTTGACCTGAGATGACTTTTAACTGATCTGGGTTGACATGATATGACCTGACTTGACATGAGTTGTTTTGCCCTATGCCGAATTGTCTTGAGTTGATTACGTTGGCCTTAGTTAGATATGAGCAAATCTGAGTGTTTTGCTATGAAGTGACCCGAATTAAAATGAATTGACCCGAGTCGACAATGGTTAATCTGAGCTAAATAAACCCAACTAATGCGTTGAATAATATTGTTTTTAGCTGACCAGACCACACACTAGAAGGTGAAGGGACGACGACGTTTCGGTCCGTCCTGGACCATTCTCAAGTCGATTGTGATGAGGAAGATTGATAAAGATTAAGCCACCCAAGAGGTGGCACGGGCATGAATAGCCCGTAAATGATGAGGAAGTAGAGACAGGCAATAAATAGGCAAGAAGAGAGGGGTGAGGAGCAAAGGTGTAGTAGAGGGGATAGTAGGAAAACGAACAAGCTTAAAAGTTTGTTTTAAGCTTTTTTATGACTCATTAGCGAAATGAACCTTGAGGGAACGTGTCTTATCTTTTTCATGATTAAAAGCACCAATATGATACTCTTTGATACCCTCACACCATTTCACCATCCTTTCACTGCACGCTTTCTCTGTTTACATTCGTATATATGAACAGAAAAACATGCATTCATAGACTCTAAAGTGCTCAAAAGAGAAAAAAAACTTCACCGCAATGCAGATAAACTTGAATGAAGATATTTTTATTGAAAAAATGTACATTTATAGTTCGGTTAGGATAGCCGACCTTAATGCAACACTGTCCGGATTAGTGAAATCCGGATTAAACGAGATGGCTGTAAACGATGAATGTGAAAATGGAAGTTATTGAGAATAGGAAACAAAATGTTTAGGGAATAGTTATAGACAAATAGGACCGCTGACAGATGGGACCTCTGACAGATGGGACCACTGACAGATGGGGCCTCTAACAGATAGGACCTCTGACAGATGGGGCCTCTGACAGATGGGACCTCTGACAGATGGGACCCCTGACAAAAGAGACCACTGACAGATTTACTTCTCTATTTTAGGGATTTAAATACGCGACTTTTTTTTATACAAAATGATGGCATTCAATTTAGAGCTATTTGTTAGTTTATTGTTTTTTTAGGTCAGCAGTGTGTCACCCTCCTCCGCACCCGGCCCCATATTTATTTATTTATTTTATTTATTTATATATATACAAGATGGTACATTGGGTTTATGAGAGTACATATCATTGATGTTTTTACATTCTTGCAAAGCCACTAACACGCATAGTGGGTCACCATAGATCAACTGTGTTCTCACCCTTCCCTACACCCTGCCCCCCATAGATCAGCTGTGTTCTCACCCTTCCCTACACCCTGCCCCCCATAGAACAGCTGTGTGTCACCCTTCCCCACACCCTGCCCCCCATAGATCAGCTGTGTTCTCACCCTTCCCCACACCCTGCCCCCCATAGATCAGCTGTGTTCTCACCCTTCCCCACACCCTGCCCCCCATAGATCAGCTGTGTTCTCACCCTTCCCTACACCCTGTCCCCCATAGAACAGCTGTATCCCCCTCCCAACCCTACAGGACATCAGAAGACACTGTAACACCTGTCTTCCTACTTGCAGATACGTGGGTAACCTGGACTCCGGAGCCAGCGAGGAGCTCCTCATGGCCGTCTTCAGTCACATCGGGCCAGTGCGGAGTTGTAAACTAATCCACGAGGTGAGTACCCGTTTCTTGGCCTCTTTTGTGTGCTTGTCGGTGCGCAGACGCCTGCTTGTGCGTGTGGATGCGTGTGCGCGAGCACGCATGCTGCCTGCTCCCTTATCCTCGTAACCTAGTGTTTCAGGGTCAAAGACGCACAGGTCAAATAATGTGAATCCTCTTTTCATTACAATATTTATTTTGTAATTAAAAGATTAGTCTTGAAGTGTTGCAGTTTCAAGCACTCTGAAGGCTCCCAAGAGATGCATTGCTTTAAATTTTAGAACTGAATATCGTATTCACTCGCCTGAGACGCTAATTCACGTGAAAAATGAGTGAATAGTGATTCCTTGTTATTGTGTGGGTGTTCACTAAGGTTTCGTAAACCAATAATTCCCCTCGTCCTGGTAATAAATTCTCTAGCGCCCTAATAAACCAGTCCACGGTTTAATTGAATTGTAATTTCTCTACATTAGCATAATTGTATTACAGTTTTATGTAACTTTTAAAAGGTTAATTACCGAGGCTGTAGTCCTACCGGTTGGTAAATGCTTGAGTTACTGCTGAGTTAGTTAAAAAAAATATCGTTTTCTATTGAGGGAGAGAAATCCTGGGATAGCAAGATTACGCCCGCGCTTGTGTTGTTAAAGGTAGCTGTTCTCGCCCTATGATAACAGCGTCTTTGTCTCCTGATATAACACTGCCCTTGGCCCTGAGATAACAAGGTCTATAGCCATAAGATAACACTGTCCTTGGCCCTAAGATAAAAGTGCCCTCGGCCCTGGGATAAGGATTATTTTATCCGATTTGTCACCCAGCGCTTTGTGTGTGTGTGTGTGTGTGTGTGTGTGTGTGTGTGTGTGTGTGTGTGTGTGTGTGTGTGTGTGTGTGTGTGTGTGTGTGTGTGTACTCACCTAGTTGTGCTTGCGGGAGTTGAGCTTTGGCTCTTTGGTCCTGCCTCTCAACTGTCAGTCTACTGGTGTACAGTTTCCTGAGCTTTTCAAGCTCTATCATATTTACATTTGAAACTGTGTTGGAGTTAGTCTCCACCACATTACTTCCTAGTTCATTTAATTTACTAACTACTCTAACACTGAAAAAGTTGTTTCTAACGTCTCTGTGGCTCATTTGGATACTCAGCTTCCAAATGTTTACCCTTGTGCGTGTACCACCCGTGTTAAATAATCCATCCTGGTCAACCTTGTCAATTCCCATGAGAATTTTGTATGTTGTGATCATGTCTCCCCAAGCTCTTCTGTTTTCCAGCGAAGTGAGGCGCAGTTCACGTAGCCTTGCCTCGTAACTCATGCCTCTTAGTTCTGGGACTGGCTTTGTGGTATTCCTCTTAACTTTTTCCAGCTTCATCTTGTACTTAACAGGGAACGGGCTCCATGCTGGGGCCGCATATACCAGGATTGGTCTTACATATGTGGTATACAAGGTTCTGAAGGATTCCTTCCTTACATAAGGTTTCTGAAGGCAGTTCTGATGTTAGCCAGCCTTGCATACGTCGTTCATGTTATTCTTTTGATGTGAACTTCAGGAGACAGATTTGGCGTGATAACAACTCCCAGATCTTTCTTTCTGTCCGTTTCATGAAGGACTTCATCTCCCATTCGGTATCCTGTGTCTGGCCTCCTATATGCTCCGCCTAGTTTCATTACCTTACATTTACTTGGGCTGAACTTTAGTAGCCATTTGTTGAACCACTCCAGCTTGTCTAGGTCATCCTGTAGCCTCATACTATTTTCCTCTGTCTTAATCCTCCTCATAATTTTTGCATCATCAGCAAACATTGAAAGGAACGAGTCTATTTCCTCTGAGAGATCATTTACATATATCAGAAACAGTATAGGTCCAAGGACTGATCCATGTGGGACTTCACTGGTGACGACTTACCACTCTGAGACTTCCACCATCATAGTGACTTACTGTCTTATGTTGCTTAGGTACTCCCTAATACAGTGGAGCACTGTGTGAATGTGTGTGTCTGTGCGTGTATGTGTGTGCGTCTGCGTGTCTGTGGGGTACGTATATTATGTATCTGTATTGTGTGAATTTGTGTGCGAGTTTGTGCGTGTGTGTGTGCGTGTGTGTGCGTGTGCGTGTGTGCGTATGCGTGCGTGTGTGTGTGTGAGTGGTGAAGGGGTGCTAACAGGTTCGTGTATCACACACAAGAAAGGTAAGGAAACAAATGACTCACCGCACTCAAGGTAAGAGCTTCTTTGCACTCAAATTCTTAATGTTTTTCACCCTTACCTATTTTTTAACACTTATGTGCTTTGTGCAGTATATTGTTGTAGTTGATATGACACATTTATATATATATATATATATATATATATATATATATATATATATATATATATATATATATATATATATATATATATATATATATATATATCGTAACATATTTAGCATATGGAGATATGATCCTGACATAGAAGATATTAAAGGTAACGACAAGGGGGTTACAGGGACAGACAGACAGGATGGACTTTAATATGAGGACATATATTACAACGATTTACTCAAGAGTTAGTCGGAGACACGTTATAAATTTCAGCAAGCACTAATTAATGAAGGGTTGTTAGTAGATGAGGTTAGAGGAAGAGATAATAGTGTAACGGCAGTTAGCAAGTGTAACGGGTCATTGGGAAAGATAATACAGTAAAGAAACCGAGAGGGCCGGGCGTTACCGGGTTGAGAATTGGCAGCTGGAAAGGCGGGGCACAAGAGCTTATGTTCGACTCTGCAAGGGTGATATACATATATATTATATATAAATATTTAAAAAAAAATAATAGGGGTGGTAGGAGAGGAAAAGATTAAAAGTATTCAGTGAGAATCCACAAGGTCTTCTCTGAACACTATTTATTTTCTTCTTCGAGGATGTGGGTCCCTTTAATTAAACCAGAGGTGGTACCCCTAAATAAATAAATATATATATATATATATATATATATATATATATATATATATATATATATATATATATATATATATATATATATATATATATATATATATATATATATATATATATATATAAAAGTTTGTGAGGGTACCACCTCTGGTGCCAATGTGGGGACCCATGGATATATATATATATATATATATATATATATATATATATATATATATATATATATATATATATATATATATATATATATATATATATATATATAGGCGGGTGTATATAGCTGTACTTGTTTTTCCGTGTGTGACCATAAAGTATTTGTTAAAACTATACTTCGTTACCATCTTCATGGTGACCAGAACCCTCGTGTTGTACTGAGCCAGACTACGCCGCTTCGAAAACAAACTTCGAATTCGAAAAAAAAAAACAAAAATTTTTGCCGCCAATTTTTGTTTCTAAAAATTCGTTAATTGTGGTTTTTATGTATGTTCGTTCAACACTTTTTACTTCCATTATTTACTTGCATTGTAAACTTTGGGAAAGTGAATTTTTGGTGAAATTATTATCGGCTTAAAATTTGCTCATAAAATATTTTACTTCATATATCTTTTGTTTGCAGTTGTATTGTAAATGTTTGCAAATTTGATCTTAAACTACTGTTATTCGGGGTTATTGTATTTTCAACATACATGAATAAAATAAAATTTTAAACGACGCAGGCTGGAAACCCTTTGTAAGTGACTTGTATGCTGTACCCACCCACCACACACAACACTTATAACCTATTTACAAAATTCAAAGTTTCTTATCGTTCTCATTTTATTTACTTGTTAATATACAAAATGTTTGCCGAGCCAGGATTGAATAAAATTATGACGTGTAGATATTGTTGTCATGTTAAGAGTAATTTCATACTCAAATTACTAGTGTGAGACACTTGTCAACAATGGGGACTAATGGGCTTTGTGCAGTATATTGTAGGAGTTGAATTATTAAAATCCTTCCTTCAGATCCTTCTGAAGATGTATTATTGAATACGAAATTACTTAAGAAAATTCCTGTCTTAATCCTTCCGTCGTGGTCTGACACTGTCACATTGTTCATCACGTGTTAATTTCTTCGTGATTCACACACACACACACACACACACACACACACACACACACACACACACACACACACACACACGCACGCACGCACACACACACACACACACACACACACACACACACACACACACACACACACACACAGTAAGCGGAAAGGCCCTATTATGGGGTAAGGAACTACTTAACAGGAAGGAGCCAGTGAGTTATGGTAAGGGGCGAGAAGTCGGACTGGCGAACAGTAACGAGTGGAGTACCTCAAGGGTCGGTGCTGTGACCAATTCTATTAAATAAAATACGTAGGGGGGACTGACAGAGTGGAAATTGACGAAATGTTCACACGGAATAGTAACAGAACGAGGGGGCATGGGTGGAAGCTGGAAACTCAGATGAGTCACAGAGATGTTAGGAAGTTTTCTTTTAGCGTGAGAGTTGTGGAAAAATGGAATGCACTTAAGGAGCAGGTTGTGGAAGCAAATACTATTCATAATTTTAAAACTAGATATGATAGGGAAATGGGACCGGAGTCATTGCTGTAAACAAGAGATAGCTAGAAAGGCGGGATCCAAGAGTCAATGGTCGATCCTGCAGACACAAATAGGTGAATACACAAACACGCACCCCAACACTGTAACCTGTTTATAAGAAAATTTAAAATTCACCTTCCCTTACAAACATTACATTTAAGCGCTCAAGCGTCTTATATTTGAGCGTAGCAGCGAATTACAATTAAGCATGCAAGCATCTTACATTTAAGTGGAGAGTGGTAATGTATGTAAGCATGCAAGAGTGTAACGTTTAGGGCTCCGGTACTGTTATCGTGACGCGAGTGCCGAAGATGGCAGGTGTAGCGGGTTCGTTGCCCCCCCCCTCCCTTACACCAGGTAGGTTAGATGCGTTGGTGTCTTGGGTTGGTATGTTTCTGGTTAGGTTAGCACTCTGTATTGTGTACGTTGTGGCATGTAAAGAGAACAGGCTGCCAAGAG